ACATGAGTTAGCAGCACTTTTCTTTCCAGGATGCCAGAATTGTTACTGAATGGACTGGCTTGCGGCCGGTACGCCCCCAGATTCGGCTAGAAAGAGAACAACTTCGCATGGGACCTTCAAACACAGAGGTATGGTCCCCTGGCAAGGAAAGCCATGCCCTCCTCTACCCCTAAGACGTTCTCTGGCATTTCCAGAGAGCAGTCCTGCCTGACCTCAGGCTCCATACAGCCTCCCTGGCAGGCAGGGGCAGTGGTGGCTAACATCCCCTACTCTAAGAATGGGGAAACTGAGTCTCAGTGGTGGTAATGGACCTGCTCAAGGTTACACGGAAGGCAGTGCCTTGGTGTGGTAAGGTCTGTGGTTGAGTAGGAGGAAAATGGATACTTAGTAGACATCTATTTGTGGCAGACACAGCAACAAGCCTATGGCATGGATGACCTTATTGAATCTCTCCTACAGCTCTTTGGGATAGGGACAGTTCTTCCCATGCTATAGATGGGGAAACCGGGGCTCTGAGAGGCAAAGTCTCTTGCCTAAGTCAGACCACTGGTGGGGGACAGGGCTGGGGTGTGATTTGACTTTGACTCCAGGACCATTTCCCAGATGTCCACCTCGTGGCCACTCCATCATTTGTAAGAATCTAAGACTGTTCTGGGGGCTCCCACCACCCCACCTGGGTGCTGACAGAGCTCAGGTGGCACCTGGCTTTGCACAGGGCTCTTTGGGAAGCTCCTGAGTCTTCCAGGGCAGAAAAGCTTCCCCTACCCTTTCCACGGTCCCTCCCAGACCTGGCCACCTTCACTCTTTCCTCTCCTAGGTCATCCATAACTATGGGCATGGAGGCTACGGGCTTACCATCCACTGGGGCTGTGCCCTGGAGGCAGCCAAGCTCTTTGGGAAGGTCCTGGAAGAAAAGAAGTTGTCCAGGAAGCCACTGTCTCACCTCTGAAGACCCCAGTGACCACAGCCCCAACAAAGACTCCCCACTTCCCTTGGCCAACTAATCAGTGTGCTCCTCTATAAGCCATTGCCTACCCCTCGCTCCACCCCTGGCTTCTTTCTGCAAAGAACACGAGGTGAGAGAAAATCAATTCCTGGAGAAGAGCTCAGCCCAACCGGGGGCCCTCTCTGATCTCTGAGGTCTCTCTGCCTTCTCTGAGTCTGACACTATGAAGAACAGCTGGGGGGCTATTAGTCCAAGGGTCTTCATAAGAAAGGATAGCTCAGAAAATCAAAGAGGGCAGCTGCCCAGAGCCACAGAAAATTGAGGCTAGTCGAGGTTAAGTAACTTGATTACATGTCATACTGATATATTAAAGGTTCTGAAAAGCTCTGCAGCAAACACAGCTATCTGGTCTTGTTTAACCCACTGCTGCCTAAACCTATCTGGGCTAGGAACACCCTTTGCCCAGAGCACCAGGGAATGCTGCGGAACACATTTGAGGAAATGAGGTAACAGATGTTGTTGTAGGAGGTTACACGTAGAACTGGGGCTGGAGGAGGAGGAAGAGGAGAGGCATTGAACTAAGAGACGCATGACGTCTGGTCCACGTTCGGGACTCCACATGGCATCGGCATCAGTTATCCCGAGTGGCCCCGTGGCCACCAGGTGACCCTTGAGGAGGGGTCCCCTGTAGGCATCACTCCGCAAGGAACCCCTTCATAGAGAACTGTCTTCATCCATTTTCTGTTGCTTATAACAGAATACCTGAAGACAGGTAATTTATAAAGAAAAGGAATTTATTTCTTACAGTTACGGAGGCTGAGAAGTCCAGGGTTGATGGGCCACATCTGGTGAGGGTCTTCTTGCTGGTGGCGACTCTGCAGAGTCCCGAGGCGGCACAGAGCATCACATGGTGAAAAGGATGGTGTGTTAATGTGCTAGCTCAGGTCTCTCTTCCCCTTCTTATAAAGCCACCAGCTCCCCGCCCATGATGACCCGCCCATCCACGAACGGATGGATCCATTCATGGCGGCACAGCTCTCATGATCCAAGCGTGTATTAAAGGCCCTGCCTCTTGAGAGTGCCACACTGGGGACTAAGTTTCAACATCAGTTTTGGAGGGGATGTGCAAACCACAGCAAGAACTAAAGTCACCAAGCATACTCCTTGTTTGGGGGGCAGATTTAACATCTCTCTTGCCTTCAGGTGGGCTCCCTCTGAGATGGCAAACAGGCTCCCAGATAGTTTTGAGAGCCTTAAATGCGTTTAGGAGACCCCTGGGCATCTTCATCCCTAATTACCCGCCTCAGCCTCTGAGGTTGAATTTTCACCTGCCCAGGTGTTTGTGAAAGGCCTGAGCCCACGTGTGGCACCCTATGTGCTGTAAAAGGTCTCAGTTGGCCCACGCCATGCCCATGTCATTACTGTCATGAAGCCTCTGCCATGATGTTGGCCAGGCCTAAGCCAAATAGGGTGAGAGACCCAAAATCTAAGTTAGACCTCCGTCCTAACAACAAAAACATTCATTGTTATTATAGCTACAATTTAGTACCTTCGAACTGAATACTAGGCTCTGTGCTAAACTCTTGCCCATGTTGCTCATATAATCCTCACGCACACCCCATGAGGCAGCCGTCATCCCATTTCACAGGTGAGAAGACCCGGGCACAGAGAGGCAGCCTGATGTTAACAGCTGGGCAGCGTAGAATGGAGATTCTGGCCCGGAAATTATATGATTCCAGTGCTTCGCTTTCAACCACTACACGACCCTGAACCCCAAGTTGGGAGGAAAATAAA